ATCCAGGTGGGACGAGGACAGGTCCTAAGAAATGTTCCAGTTTGAGGACAGACTTCCTTTGGATTGGCCAGTAAAGAGAACTGAGCAAGAGAATTTACAATGGAATGTGTCAAACCTTTCCTCCTCCTTTCCTTAAGGACTCTTCATCTGCCCTCTTGGCTTCTATTCTCACAAATTCTCAAACACACAAGTGATAAAACAGTCAAAACATCTAAAAACAATTCCAGTGCAGATGCAGACTGGGAAAGAACTCTTCTTTAAAAGGCTTGTTAGAAGAGGAAAGTATTCAGCAAGCTTTGAAATGGTGCCCGTCTTGTAATTTAACAAGCGGGAATTCTGATGGGGAGGTGCCACCACACTAAAGGCCTGGTTCCTATATTGTGGATGTCTTGATAATATGGTATCTGCAGGAGACCCTAGATTGGAGATTTAGAAAGGGGTGAGATGATCTTTCAGGTATGCTGGTCCCAAACCAGCACTTTAAACTGGTAGCTAATTTGCAGCCAGTACAATTCGCGTCAGCAGAATAAAAACTAAAGCAACTGGAAGTCGAAGGATTTCCTGAAGAGCATCGTTCTCCCAGCCTGTCGAAAGCAAAGCAATGACTTGGCTTGGCAGTGGAGATAGGATTCCTTAAGTGTGGGCTGGGGGCATGACTTATACACTATCATCTCCTGTGCTCATCCAAGACTGGATGTTGTGTGGGAATACTGGGAAGGCAAACTTAAGATGAGGTTTCCCTTCACATATACTGAACCCATGATCCTTTTTCTTGGGGGGGGGCAGAATGAGTGTGCACACATGTAACACTCAGGGTACGTGTGCTCCATCACCCTGGTGCAGCTGCAGAATACTGCAGCCGGAGGAAATACCTGCTGCTGTTTTTAAGGAAGCTGTTTCCTATCTCTTAGGAATGCGAAGGTAAGCTTGCAAGCATGCAAGCAGTGCCTGGTGAAATTTGGGGAGATAAAGGTGGAGGGAGAATAGGGTAAAAGCAGAAAGCAAGCTTTCCGCGCTGCAGACCGAGACTCTTTCCTGGACTTCTGCTTTAGCCTCAGTTTACCACCCTTCAGGGCCACGGGAGGACTGGAGTGCACGAGGCAGGCAAGAGACCCAAGTTTCCTGTACGGGTGTGTGCCATAAAAAAAGAGGACCAGAACCCCCATGCCTTTTATCTTAACACATTTTAAAGCTCAGTCCTGCTATTTGCGCAAACGTCCTCTCCTTCAACCTCGTATTGCCTGTCTGTATAATGTAAATGGAACATGCTTGGGATGAGGACTGCATTATGTCTCCATTTTGTGCAGTTTCTGGCGCTAAGCATTGTGTTCAGCAGATAGTTGTTGTTCCATAATAATAAACGGCAACAATGATGATCTAACAGCAGCTGGGGGAGTGGGGGCTGGGGAGAGAAATGCAGACTTACTTCGTTCCCACTTTGCAAAGCAATGTGCGGATTGAAACAGAAGTATCCTTCGAAATGTGAACATCTCCAGCTTTTGCAGTGCAGTTCTTTGGCCAAGTAATGTGTGCACAAATGCATATGCCAGGGGTAAAAGTATACATTCAAATGTGTGTGTCAGCAAAAATAACATCAATATGTGTTCTATTGGTGGGAATGGCTTTGCAAAAATGAGTACATTCTGCAAAATTGCATACAGGCACAAGGAAGAATTTGCACTTGAACCCAGATTAATTTTCATGAGAAATTTTGAAATAATAATTCATAAACTCATGTGGAAATGTGGAGAACTGAACATTTAAGACTGGATAAACAAGAAACTGAAATTGACTTAACCACCCCTAAACCTCACTAACCTTGGCTGCTGCTGCTAAACCAATTTTGGACTGATTTTGATTTGGTCAGTTCTGTTGGACCAGAGTTTGTTCTGTTTTGGAGCAGATGTCTGTAGCCGGTGGCAAAACCAGATCACCATCTTAGCTCTTGGAGGGAAAAGCGCAGCTGTGCTTGGAGAGAGACTATCTTTCATAATAGCCAGTCTCTCGGATGTTAGGCCTGACTTGGGGAGAGTGATTCCAAAGCCACCAATGTGGAGATTAAGGGGGATGAGAATGTAAATCTTAAGTAAAAAGGTAATTGAATGTAATAGCAAACACTGTGCGGGCTATGTTAATTTTAGCTCTTCCCTTGGATACAAGACGCTGTATTAGTGTTTTATTACCATTTTGTTTGCTCTAATAAAATAGTAAAATTTATTTCGAGGAAGTTGAACGATGGTTTTACAATGCAAATTTAAAGAAATTGGACTTTTCATTTACGGTGCTGCTATTTCCCCCCTTTAAAAGAAAAAAGAGGCAACCTTGAGAAGGTGTAAATTAGACATGGGAGGTAAAATGTGTGCTGTGTGTAAGGGAGAGAGAGAGGAAGAGGATAGAGGAAGAGCAGGAGAGTTTGGAGGTGAGAAAGTTAGATGTGATTTTGGAAGGGGGGGCATAGAAATGACTTCTTAGTCCCCTAAGTATTTTGGAGAGGTGGGGGGAGGGCAGGTGAGCAAGAGGGCACTGCTTTAAAATCAGATGGATGAGAAATGTCACCCTTTCCTCCAGCAGAGCCAGAAGAGGATAGCTGGTTGTAGTTGCAGGATCCGAGCTCTTTTTGCTAAGGCACTTGCAACTGTGAGCAGTGTGTTCGATGCAATTGCTTCAACTTGTTTGGTGATAGCAAAATTAGAGGAGTTGGAACCGAAGAAGACGTTTTGAGCAAAGCTGGAAGATGAAAAAGTCTGATAATTGTGTTCATCTTATTCTGGGGGTCTAAGGTTTGGGAAGGAAGAGATAGGGCCCTTTTCCTGCAGCTGCAAATCTGGCTCTCCGGGATGAGATTTGAGAGGCGCAGTACAAGCAGGGGGAAGCTGGCTTGTGGCTCCCTACTCTTTTGATTGCTTTCTGTTTTGTAGGAGTTGTTGCTGCCTTCTGATGAGTTTTTTAGACAGTCTGTTAAGTGTAAAGGGGGGGAGAGAGAAGAAAAAAAAGGTGACACTCCAGGTGGATTTCAATCAAAAACTATAATTACATCAAATAGTAAACGGAAATGGGGGTGGGAGGGAAGGATCGGGTTGTGGGAGAGGATTATGCATTCCCCTGAACTCTTTCTGGCTGCTGAACTGACTCTGTCCCTCCGCATAGGGCTGTGTGTGCAGACAATAATTGGCTGCCTCCTTAAATTTTCTTTATCTCCCCCCCTCTTGCTTTGATGCCCTTGATATGGGTGAAGGGAAAGGAGGATAGAATCTGTCTTCTCAAGGCTGTTGATGGCCTTTGGCTCAGCCCTGCTCAGCTGAGGATGTGCCATAGGGCCAAGTGCCTGATGCACTGTGTGTCTCCTGGATCATGGCTGGTTCCAGTTGACAGCATGCAGACCGGTTACTGCCCCAAACCAACATTATTTAGCACCCTGCCCCACAACACCCAAGTTTCTGTGTCCCTAGGGCCCTCTGTGATGAGGGACACAGGTGGCGCTGTGGGTTAAACCACAGAGCCTAGGTCTTGCCGATCAGAAGTTTGGCGGTTTGAATCCCCGTGACAGGGTGAGCGCCCATTGCTCGGTCCCTGCTCCTGCCAACCTAGCAGTTTGAAAGCATGCAGAGCAAGTAGATAAATAGGTACCGCTCTGGCGGGAAGGTAAACGGCATTTCCGTGCGCTGCTCTGGTTTGCAAGAAGTGGCTTAGTCATGCTGGCCACATGACCCGGAAGCTGTACACTGGCTCCCTTGGCCAATAGGGCGAGATGAGCGCCGCAACCCCAGAGTCGGTCACGACTGGACCTAATGGTCAGGGGTCCCTTTACTTTTAGGGCCCTTTGTGAGTGCCTGACGTGGCTGACATCTGGCACCAGGCCTAAATGTCTGGAGGGTTACAGGTTCTCCACCCCTGTTAGAGTCTGTCACCCCAGTGATTGCATCATTCGGGCCATTTGTCTGTTTCTGAATGATAAAGAGGTTCATTTTACCGATGCCGGATTGCCATGAGCAACCCGTATACCTCTTTGAATAGTGCTGCAGAGTGCGCCTTTCCCTCTCCAATCCTTTCCCCCAGTTTCTTCCTCCACCTCTCATTCCATTCCTTCCCTCCCTGCTGCTTCCCTTCCTTCCTGTCATCTTGGTGTGTCTCTACCTGTACACCTGCACACCTGAGGTTCAGATTTGCTTTGGGGCTACTGAGTGTGGCTTCTTCCCCACCACTCAAAAAGAGAGAACCAGACAGTGGGGATAAGGTTTTAAATCCCTCTCCGCTGCCTTCCCAGGCTTGCATCTTCTGATGGCTTTCCAAATGTGTAATCCTGGAGCCCACAGTCTCGCTCGGCCCTTGTTTGATCCCTGTTTGATGCAATCTTTTTATTTTCAATTGAAGTTCGGCACCGTGCAGGGGCTGGAAGTTACTTTCCAGCTCCCTTTGTAGTCCCCCTCCAAGCATAGCCGTTATAACTGAGGGCGTGTTTGCAAGTGTGCTCTCAAATGGCTTGCAGCGTATCACGGTACCTTTTCAGCCCTGTTGGGCCAGAATGACTTGCGACATATTAGGACTCAATTTAAATTAGTTTTGCCTGTGCACATCGTTCCCCTTTCCACTTTAGGATGGCCAGGTGCAAAGGGAGGGTTGAAAAGCTGTTAGCAGCTCCGTAGATCAGAACACACACAAAGCAGCTTTAAAATGGTCCAGACTGTTGGTCCGTCTAGCTCAGAATTTCCTACACAGCTCTCCAGGGCTCCAGGCAGGAGACGTTCCCAGCCCTGTATGTAAAGCAGATGCGCTACCTCTGAGCTTCAGCCTGCTGCCAATAAGGGTGCACAGGAAATAGAATGATAGGAGATAAGTGGGTGATTTGAAGTAGGGATTCTGACTCCCATTTGTGTTTAACAATAGTGGCTTATATCAGTTCTGTAAATAAGCCAACTAAATTCACTTAAGAGGTTTCCTGCATATCCATGCTAGACGCAAAGGAAGGGAGGAAAAACCCTTCTCTCAGTCGCTGTTGTTGTTGTTGGGATAGCTCAGTTGGTAGAGCATGAGACTCTTAATCTCAGGGTTGCGGGTTCGAGCCCCAATTGGGCAAAAAATTCCTGCATTGCAGAGGGTTGTAGATGACCCTCAAAGTCCCTTCCAGTTCTATGATATTCTATCCTGCCCTTCCTCTGAAAAGGAGCCCAGGGTAGCAAACGATAAAGTAATAAAGCAATACAAATACAAACAGAATAAAAGCATGTTTAATTTTGTAAGAAAAATATATTTAAGAACACCTAAAAACATTTAAAATCAGCCACAGCTAATAATACCAAGGTTCCAGGGAACACAGACTTTTAGCTCTGAAATATCTGTGTGAAGACCCTGGCTTGGGTCAATTGGCAGCACCTGGCTGGGGCTCTTAGTATGCTAATGTTATTTTTAAAGAGCCATTCTGCCATGCTTGCTGATAGAGAAGGGATGGAAAGGAGAGTTTAGCTTCCATTTCTCCTCAGGCAACATGGGATCCAAGTAGACGGGTGGGTGAGGGATGGCTTCCCGTGACAGCCCACTTACCTGCAAGGTATTCTCAGTCACCTGTGGCTACCAGGCTAGGTATTCATTGTGAGGCTGGTGTGAATCATACACTTGAAGCCCCCATAAAATTGGATGCAGGGCTTTGCTGAAAAGCAGACTTTCATTCATGATTAAAGCCTGATGTTCCATTGGGGCAGCTTTTCTCTGCATGCTAGTCTGTACAGCTTGTCGCTTAGTGTGTGTGTATGATGATTCTATTCAAAAGCTTTAAAGTAATAGAGGCTCCCTTTGATCTTTGAGGGCTCATTCATGTGTGCACACAAACAGGTAGACATGCAAGTCATCCCCTGATGCTGCAAGTTGCCAAGTGATGGGTGTGAATGGGGAAGGATGTGCGTAGCCCAGTGGTAGGGCAGAAGGGCCTAGCAGCATCTCCAGGTAGGGCTGAGAGACCACCAGTGTTCCAGATTAGCCATGTACGAGGTGTATTTTGCACCTGACTTTTGACTACTTGCGACCAAGTGAAGATGCCTGGACTCCAGGATGGCGTCTGACATCTCCACCATCAGGAGCTGCCTGGCGATCATTGGCTCCCCACACACTAATACAGTGGTACCTCAGGTTACATACGCTTCAGGTTACAGACTCCATTAACCCAGAAATATTACCTCGGATTAAGAACTTTGCTTCAGGATGAGAACAGAAATCGTGCTCTGGCGGCACGGCGGCAGCAGGAGGCCCCATTAGCTAAAGTGGTGCTTCAGGTTAAGAACAGTTTCAGGTTAAGAACGGACCTCCGGAACGAATTAAGTACTTAACCCGAGGTACCACTGTACTGCATCCTGTAGAATTCTATCAGTTATGTTTTATCGGCACACTTGGAATGGATTTCAGGAACTAAAATGCTTTTTCTGTGCAGCCTGAGCAGGAACAGTCACCATTGAGAAAACGAGGTCAGAATAGGCCAAAATATATGTGGACTGTCCCTGGATCAAGTGACTTTTCTTCTTTAAGTTTTCAAAGCTCTTAACCTAGCTCAAGGTTGTCATCTGAACTAGCCAGATGTTTAACTGAGAATTAATCACAGTCAGTCCATCATTTGATAAATAAGGCTTGCCTAAAAATTGCAAGTAGACATTCTGTTTTGGCAACTGTAACCTTGGTTGAAGGAGCCATTTGGCACCTTGAGTTTCTTACACTGGTTTACAGCACTGCTTCAATGTGGATGAAGCTATTGTTGTTCTTTGCTGCCACTTTCCTTTGCTAGTTGGTAGGAGATGCATTCTACCCAGCGGTTTCTGCTCAAGAAATCAGGTGGAGTAAAGAAGGGCGTTAGGAGTAAGAGAGGCTGTGTGGTGCTATGGGCTAGCAAGTGGGTAACAGACAGCCAAGTGACCAGACCTTCCCACCAAATTTAGAGCTCTTCATGCCTAATCCTAAATGAAGAATTGATGGATTTAAGAGTTTGTATAATCTGGATAAATTAAAAAGAAGCCTGGCCAGCTTAGTGGTGTTGCAAGATGGACGAAACTATGAAGAAGACAGCTTGAGGGTGTCTTTAAGAGACTTCTTTTGTTGTTGTTCTGTAGATATTGAGCACCCACATTTCTGATTGGGGATTACAGGATTGCATGGGGTTGAGCCACTCCAGAAATCGTCTGCTTCCTATTGTTCACACTGACTCATTTGCACCCAGTGTTTGCCAACTCTTGCCAATTTCATCACACAACTCATGACTGATTTATTTTCTTTAGGGTGGCTCCTTTTTATAGCTCAAACTGGTGGAGCTTGAAATGATAACAATCTCTGTATTCATTTCAAAGTGCTAAGTTGCTAGTCCTCAATATATTCAGAGAGGAAGGATTAAAAATGTGACTTGCAGATGAAACACCAAACTCTCGTGTATAAACCACACCTGATCTGGCGCAGGGGCTTGTGTCTAAATTGAAAACCAGTGATTTATGACATTTGGGGGGAAACGACACATTTTATTTTGAATACAGTGGTATCTCGGGTTAAGTACGTAATTCGTTCCAGAGGTCCGTTCTTAACCTGAAACTGTTCTTAACCTGAAGCACCACTTTAGCTAATGGGGCCTCCTGCTGCTGCCGCACCGCCAGAGCACGATTTCTGTTCTTATCCTGAAGCAAAGTTCTTAACCTGAAGCACTATTTCTGGGTTAGCAGAGTTTGTAACCTGAAGCGTATGTAACCTGAAGCGTATGTAACCCGAGGTACCACTGTAGTATGTTTAATTATGAGACTAGAACTCAGAGCTAAGGCTATAGATTCTGATCAGCAGCCAGAGGGAAGCCGTTAAAATCTAGCTGCAATTCTCCCTAAAAAAATGTGTCTAAGGGCCATGTTACAAACCAGCAAGTTTTTTTTGTTTTTTTAAGGGGACAAAACTACCTATCTGTGCATACCTTAGTAAGCACTTATCTATAATCACATCTTACTCGCCTTTGGTTATATCTCTCACACGCACGCACATTGCACTCATGCTGATTCCACGCGCTGGATATTGTTAAATACTGGTTTGTTTTGTAGGAGTGTTTTAAATCTCTTGGATTTCTGTAGGGCTTCTTTGATCAGCGCGTGTTTTTATCTTTCCGCTTTCTGAACTTAGCACCTTGGCCTTTATTTACTTATTTATTTGCCGGAATTGAAAACTGCCTTCCTGGATCAGGCCAAAGTCTAATGTGGTTCAGCATCTTGTCCTCACCAGATGCCTCCAGGATGCTTGCCAGCAGGACATGATGGAGATGAAGGCTTTCAACAGTTTCAAGGCACGATGATCAAGCCTCCACCATCAGGGGCAGTATTCCTCTGTATAACCTGTTGCTGGGAATTTCAGGTGGGGAGAGTGGTTGTCATAATCAGGTTCCACTCCATCCTTAATTGTGATGGGCGATAGCTGCTGATAAGCCACCTAAGGACAGGAGCTGTTGCGATATCTGGTAGCCAGCAGTTTGCCATGCATCGAGGAACATGGAAAGGCTGCCTTTTGCAAAATTATTTGTTCCCTAACAAAGCAGGTGCTTTACCACTGAGCTACTACCTGTCCCTCCATTGTATGGGGAAGAAGGACATCCATTGACTTATCTGGTGTAGGCAGCCCATTTCATTTTTATGGGTTTGGCAGCAGTGCAGTGGCTGCTCTGTGGTGTTGGATCTGGAGCATCTCCTTCCTGAAGCTGTGCTGGCTGTTTCTGCATTGCCCGAACCCAACAGATGAGCTTTTTCCAGCTTGGTGATGCCAAAAGCTGTGCCTGTTCAATTCCTGCCGGTCACACAGTCACAGGGCCTCTGTCAGCTTCATTCATATGGGTGGCTGGAGGATCAACAGTCAAAGAGCGCTGTGAATCGAGTTAATGATTAATATTTATATTTGGCATGGTATATTAATTATAGTTGTTTGGTGCAGTCAGGCCCAAGCCGCCCACTCCTTCCTCCAGAATCTCTCTATTATAGCCTGCCCTATCACATGGGTGCAGGGTGCGTTAACCACCATTTAATCAGAAAGGGGGGTTTAGGAAGCAGCCTTCTACAGTCTTAAGAGAAAAAGCATAAAGAAATGTATACATTAAGCTGTAAGGAATTAAAAAACAACTTTTCTGTGCAGGTGTGTAGGGGTGTGTGTGTGTGTGTGTGTGTGTGTGTGTGGTGTACTTTACTTTTTTTTCTCTGGTTCCCATAAAACTCCTTCATTGCTCCTCCTCGGCTTGTATTTATTAGATTTTAAGAGTTCAGTGAAGAATTTTGCCTGCCTGCCATTTCTGGGAAAGGTCATAGCTCAGTGGCAGACCATCTGCTTTGCATGCGGAAGGTCCCAGGTGTTCAGTCTCTATCACCTCCAGGTAGGGCTGGGAATGGCCCCTGCCTGAAACCCTGGAGAGCTGCTGCCAGATAGTGTAGGCAGTACTGAGCTAGATGGACCAGTGATTCTTCCATTTGGCCATGAAGAACATTGAGAGAGGATGGAGATGGGAGAGCCAGTTACTCACAACACATTTTGAGGCTCAAAGCTGGTTTCATATGCTCAGAGCATGCCCTCCAACATTTATCTGATGAAAATTGTTGTTGTTTAGTAGTTTAGTCATGTCCGACTCTTCGTGACCCCATGGACCAGAGCACACCAGGCATCTGATGAAAATAGGGACATCCTAATCAATAATAATAATAATAATAATAATAATAATAATAATATATTTATACCCACCCCACGCCACTCTGGGCGACTTCCAACATGTATTATAAATACATAATAAAACATTAAACATAGAAACTTCCCTATACAGGGCTCCCTTCATATGTGTTCTAGAGGTTGTACAATTGCTTATCTCCTTGACTAGGGGGTTGCATAACGCCATACCCTCCAACATTTCTCTGGTGAGATTAGGAATGTCCTAAGGAAAAGTGGGACATTCTGGGATCAAATCAGAAACTGGGATGGTTTCTGTAAATCCGGTACTGTCCCTGGAAAATAGGGACACTTAGAGGGTCTGTCAGAGGTCATGCTTTGCATGTAGAAGGTCTTAGCTTGAATTCCCAACATCTCCAGTTTATTTTTTGTTTATTTTTAAGAAAGAGGATTAGGTAGCAGGTATTGGGAAAGACCTTTCTCTGCTTTCAGACTAGTGTAAGATCAGAACAGATGATGGCGGACTAGATGTTCAAAGAGTAGAGCTCCCATTGCTCCCATTTGTCTAGGTTGGCCTTTGAGACCTCATACATACCCTGAATTTAAAGCACATTTAAAGCTCATGATTCCATCCCCTGCAAAAAAATAAATCCGGGAACTGTAGTTTACCCCTCACAGCACCCTTAGCAAGCTACAGTTCCAGGGATTCTTTGGGGGAAACCATGTGCTCTTAATACACGGTGTGTACACAGCCTTGGGGCTATATGGTATATGGTTGTGCACACAGCCTTGGGGCTATATGGTATATGGTTGTGCAGGGGACAGTCTGGATTTGGCACAACGTGCCTTGGGTTGTCGAGCCCCTACCATAGCAATTTGTAAATTATTGTTTGACTTCAATCGTTTTACGCCTTCACACACAAACACACACACATATATAAAAGCATAGTTCTCAGACGTCAAATGAAGGGTGAGGTTGGGATGTACGTCAGACAGAAACTCAAGAGAAGAACCTGCCTGTTGAATATTGGTGGTTTCCTGATCCCTTTAGTGGCCTGTCCTTTTTGAAATTCCACCCGGCCCTGCTGGTTTTGGAGGAATAAAGAGGTGGAATTCATTAGGAAAACTTGTTTACAGCATACCTTTAGTCACCAAGGTGCTCCCATTTTCAAACTCCACAATAAGCTGCTCATTAAAATAAAAAATTAAGCAACAGGTTCTCTTCTGCCTCTGTTCTTTTCTTTCTTTCCCTCTTCTCCCTCCCTTACAGTTTTAATTGCGTGATTTTTAAAAAACATGGTGTAACTCCTGGAAACGCCCGGCGTGTCTCACATACAAGGTGTTTTTGTTTTTTTTTACAAAACAGTTTTTGTTTTATTGCATTTGAATTCGTGATTCAAGAGAATTGATGACTCAATAAAAAAAATCTTGCCGGTATATACATATATATTAAAACAAAATACGCCATCTGGGAGAGATCTCTGATAAGTGCTAAAGGGCCAAAAGGCTTGTTGCTTTCATCAAAGGACATTTTAAGCCAATGTGTTCTTCAAGGCTGTTTTGCAATAGTCTTTTAAGAGGGAAGAAAGGGCAACCAAAACTGTAAGTAACACTAAAGTTCTGTGCACACCATACACTTAAAGCACACGACTTCATCCAAAGAACCTGGGAACTGTAGTTCACCACTCTCAGTGCTACATTTCCCAGCACCTTTAGCAAACTATAGTTCCCATAAAGGGCCTTCTTGGTGGTGGCCAGTCCCAGACTTTGGAACTCCCTCCTAGCTGTGATGTTTTTATTAATAGATCATATATATATGTGTGTGTATATATATATATATGTATGTATGTATACACACACACACACACACACATATACATTCTATTAATGTTTAATTGTTTTTTAGTTATTGCTTCCACCCATATTTTTAATCATTTCTGTGTTAGCTGTAAGCCACCTTGAGTCAGGGAGAAAAGTGGGATATAAGTAATAATAATAATAATTAATAGTAATATCATCATCATCATCATCATTAATAATAATTCTTTTTTGGTGTTCAAATTGAACCAAGCTCATACTCGTGCCAAACAAAATTCCACTCCTGCTTACCTTCTTCAAACTTCCTTTATTTCACCCATATAGTTTTTTGGAGAGGGAGTAATTTTGTTGCCATTGTAAAACAGCTGTAAGAAATCATTGGAAATGGAGGTCAGATCACCCAGGCCAGCTTTCTTCAAGTGGATCCCAGTCTGCTCCCCCTCATTCTGCTTGACTTATCTTTTAAGTATTTCGGCTTTCCCCCAGGCCTTTCGTAATTGCATATTTTGGGCGATGGGAGTAGACTTTGCAAAATCATCTTACATGTAGCGGTCCTCCAATATACCTTGACTGTGACATGTCTGGGCTTGCAACTCTATGTGCAAAAAGTTTGGGTCCCTCCTATAACTGCCTCTTTAGATACTCAATGGCACTTTTGATTTGGAGCTATTCTGTACTAACCCTAACCAGATCTGTGGTGAGTTTAAGTGATCTATTCAGCATTCCCTTGAAAGCCTGACTACAAGTCCCACATCAGGAGCTAACACGGGCAGTATTTCTCAAACTTAGGTCTCCATTAATTGTTGGACTACAACTCTCATCATCCCTAGCTAGCAGGACCAGTGGTCAGGGATGATGGGAGTTGTAGTCCAGCAACAGCTGGGGACCCAAGTTTAAGAAAAACCCACTAGCTGGAGGACAGTGTAGAGCAGTCCAAGAGGAACCTTCCATGCTTCTTGGGGGTACCAAGCCGTCTCAAGTAGTGAGGATGGCGGGTGTTGCACAAGATAGTCCCTGTTTGTGATTCTGCGGCGTCAGTGGTTTTGCATGCTTCTGCAAGGAATTGGTTTTATGGCACAGTTTAGCATTCTGTAACATGGAAAGCTGAACCCTGCAAATCCAGCACAGTTAACTTTGCATAATTTATTCTGCTTCTGCAAATCAGAGGGAGGGGCATGATGCTGCTCAGGGTGCTGCAACCCCACCCTGTCACTCCTGGCAATCTGAGTCAGCAGCCGGTCCTTTGGCCGCAGAGGCTTCCACCAGGATTTGCCCATGACCTCTCAAGCATATTTTTGCCATCTTAAGGACTGGAAACGTGCCTTTTCTTTTTACCTAAAAAAAGGGGGGGGGAGAAAATTGTTGAATTCTGTGCTCGATACCATATTGTGCATACCAGGGTTGGGTGTATCTGGTTTTCAACATTGTGATATATCACCAGCTAAACATTGTGATATACCAATATATTACGATGTCTGAAATAAGGATGGAGGTATGTACAGACATTGGCTGGCTTCATGGTTTTCCCCACATTGTGATTTTTGCACAGCACTCGCAAAAACACACACATCATGATTTGCAATATATTGCCAGGTCAAAAATTATGAAATTAATATCACGATATGGACTTCAAACTGGTTTTGGACAATATATTGATATATCACCCAGCCCTAGTTGCCTTGGGCATGCTTTTGTAACCAAGTAAAGGCCTTGCTATATTGGACCTGGCATTAACATCTATTTTCCATGGTGTATCTAGCCAACCCTCCTTTAGAAGAATCTGTAACTTCACTGCTTCCCCCTTTCCACTCACCCACCCCAAACTCTGCATGAAAAAAAAATTGTTCCAAAGTGTGTATGCTCAACAGGAGTGCTCCAGTAAAGCACATTACTTTTCCCCTTTCTCTTCTCTTCTCCTCTGGAATAAACATTCTGACATCTATAGCAAATATATAGACACACGTATGCCAACACAGCTGCAAATATTGTCCCCTGCTTGCTCCACTTTCTGCAGCGAGCACGTGCCTGGCAGGATCATGGACTTGAAACGGCCACCTGCCCTGTGACAGCCCTTCTCTGCCCCCACTCTCCACCATCCCCTCAAGCAGTTACAGTGGTGCCTTGGGTTACATACGCTTCAGGTTACAGACTCCGCTGACCCAGAAATAGTGCTTCAGGTTAAGAACTTTGCTTCAGGATGAGAACAGAAATCGTGCTCCGGCGGCGCGGCAGCAGCAGGAGGCCCCATTAGCTAAAGTGGTGCTTCAGGTTAAGATCAGTTTCAGGTTAAGAACGGACCTCCGGAACGAATTAAGTACTTAACCCGAGGTACCACTGTAGTAGCTACTGGTAGATCTCTGGGTGACTTGCAGTGGTTTAGAAAGGTTTCAAACTCCAGCCTTTTTTTTTAAACAACAACAGCAACAACAGCTAATTTACTTAGTGATGTAGTTTTTCTGGGAAATTTTAAATGGGGGTTTTTCCCCCTCCACTGGAAACAACAACCAATTAGGCTAATTTGCACAGGGTGACTTTCCTCAGGAACTTTTCAGTTTGCACCAGGAAGCTTCCTGATGTGCTGATCTGATTTCTGCTTGAATGTCATAAGCAAAGGTAAAAACTCTGAAAGAGTTCGCCTTGCCTGATATTGCACTTGCAGCTGGCACCTGTTTGTTGTAATGAACGTGCAACATGGAAGAATTTCTGTGGAAACATAAAGCTTGAGGGCCAAGATAGAGAAAGCATATTAGTCTTAATGAGAGCTAGCATAGATATCAGGCTTTCAATTCCTCACTCAGCCAGGGAAGCTCAGTGGGTGACCTTGTGATGGTCACTCTCAGCCTACCTTACGGGGAAGCCATGAGGATAATGTGAGGTGGCCAGGTCAGAACTCTGTGTGCTCTTCTGGACTCAAGAGAAGTGCAACTTGCCTTCCTTCACCCAATGGGACTCGGGTAGCAAAGGGGATTAATATTACTGGTCTACCTTTCTGGGTGGCTTGTAAGAATGAGAGAATAAGAATGAATTGAGTTCCAGGAGTCTGTTTTGCAACCATGATTTCTATGAGATTGAAACATGCCCCCTTTCTGCAAAGTGTTATGCATAAAGGGCACTTTTAAAAAAAACAGGCAGCATTGAGAGAGCAATAAATTTAGCAATATTGGGACTGTAGGAAACTGTAGTAGTTCCCAAACTCTCGAATGAGCCATTGTATCTCTTCAGTAGCTGAGTGCATGTTGTTACGGTTCTTCCTGGGCTAGTCAGATATCACAGGAACTTGTTAAAAAGGTGGGTGGCGGTGGGGAACCACCTTAGCAAACAGGCATCCCACCCCCCAGCTAGCCACCAAAAAGGTGCTTTTTTATAGGTACAGATCACACAAACATCCTTCTCTTGAATTTAAGGAGATCAAGATGAGAAATCTCTATCCAAAGGTGTGTCTTTCTGCCAGATTTTTATCTCGGCTTATCTCTCTCCAGCCTGAATAAAAATGTGGGGGCTAATCCAGGCAGAATGCCTCCTGCACAAGGCCCGTTTGAAGTGACTTCAACTTGCTCAAGAGCGCAGCATGGAATGGATCTGAACTTGCAAGTTCTCAGTAGTGTTTGTTGCCGATTATCAAGGTCTTTCAAAACTGAAATATATAAATACACAAACAGACATACAGAAGATACACGGGCAGCTTTTCATGTTGCAAGTAGGAAACACCTTCTTTTTGAAAAAGAAAGTGTTTGTGACGCTATGTGAAATATGGCCAGTGCAACAGGTTCGGCCCTAGCGTTAGACAAAGTTGGACCTCAGGTGGGAGATGCAGAGGTACAGGCAAGCGGTGGTGAAGTCTCAGAGAACAGAGCCATGTGTGCCATTCACCTTGCCCCCTGAGCTGGCATGCTGCCCAGTAGGGGCTGTGGAGGATGCTGTCCTGTTGCCACTGTTGAAGTTAGGCTCGGGTACCAGAGTGGCCAGTTTCTGTGGAATGGGCACCATCTTGTCTTTTGTCTCGGGCAGTAGAATGTCTCAGGCCAGCCTTGGCAGAAAAACAACATGACCTTTAAAACGAATGAATGAAGCAGTGCTGTTTTATTGCTGGTGTGGGAGACCTTTGGCCCTTCAGATGTTGCTGAGCTACAACTCCCATCATCCCTAGCCATTGACCATGCTTGCTGTGACTGATGGCAGTTGTAGTTCAGCACCATTTTTAGGGCTAAAGCTCCCCCACAACTGCTTTATTGGATCAACTAGTTGTTTGGGAGTTCTTATATTTCCCTGTCCCCGTCAACAGCCATAGTTTTTCCAAGGGATGTGTTTGTGTTTGTATACATACACACATTCTTTTAATTAGCACTGAAAAACCTAAATTCAAAGACTTACAAAAACCGCATACAAATACAATATGTTTGCAAAAACTTTGCTCGTCCTTTCTCTTTTGAATAAAAAACTTCAGCAAAAGCATAAAGGCTCACCATCCTACAGCAGCTCATCTGTTTGTTTCTGAAAGCAAAATGGAAAAAAAAAAAATCCGTAGTGGAGAAACACTTTTGTGGATGGATTAAAAGTATTAAAATTAATAATATTGGAAAAGCCCACACGGTAATGCCTTCCCTGAAAACTGTTCCCTGTGAAATGCCGTTTTAACAAGCATCGGTGAGACAAGCCCTGAGATTCGCCCAGCATGGATTAAGGTGTGAAGGAGGTCAAATGGGAGCCTCCCAACAGGTGGAGGGAGAGGAGCTGCCTCTTTCCTAGGAATTTCCTGGCTCTTTGTTGTTTGTATTTCTGCCAGCACAATTTGGGATCTGTTGGGTGTGCCCCAAAATTCCCACACATGTACCTCTCTCACCTGTTTGCCCAAAATATTCCTCTCTCACACTCTCACTCTCTCTCTTGATTCCTCTCCAGTGAACTAGGGCAGATCCATAGCATACAATGAAGGCACATCCCAAAGAATTCTGGGAACTGTAGTTTGTTAAGGGTACTTTCCCCAGCATTCTTTGGGCAAAGTCATATGCTTTAAATGCACATTGAAGGTGTTCTAAATATATGATGTGGATCTGCTCTTACTTGTATTGC